CATGATCTGAATGAAGATGGAGGTCTGCATCAGGAGTGAGGTTGGGCACAGATGCTTATGAGCACCGATGGATGACTTGTCAAAGACACTAATCAGTGATGCAATGACACAAGTAGTGCTGGAGGCAAACAGTCCAGCAGATGGGAGCTTTGTTGTCATGAGGGAAGGTCATCAAGTGCCATCCTTTAACACAATCAAAACTGCTCAATGGGAATACACAGGCAACATCTGATGATCACCTTCTACCTTATTGTTTTCAGTGCTGCTCAGTGCATGGATGGACCTGCTGCTCCTGTATCTGCTGTGTTAAACACTGTGCCTGTTCAACACGAGGCTGTCACTGTTGAAGAAGACTTCTGTCTTCTCTTCTTCAGTGCTTCATTGCAGCCTGTTTCTGTCTAGGAAAACAAAAGAGTTGGTGTTTGTATCATGTTGAGTGTCTATCACAGCAAGATAGCTGCAGAAAGGGAGAGGAGAGGAGAGGAGGGGAGGGGAGGGGAGGAGAGGAGAGGAGAGGAGGGGAGGGGAGGGGAGGAGAGGAGAGGAGAGGAGGGGAGGGGAGGGGAGGAGAGGAGAGGAGAGGAGGGGAGGGGAGGGGAGGAGAGGAGAGGAGAGGAGGGGAGGGGAGGGGAGGAGAGGAGAGGAGAGGAGGGGAGGGGAGGGGAGGAGAGGAGAGGAGAGGAGGGGAGGGGAGGGGAGGAGAGGAGAGGAGAGGAGGGGAGGGGAGGGGAGGAGAGGAGAGGAGAGGAGGGGAGGGGAGGGGAGGAGAGGAGAGGAGAGGAGGGGAGGGGAGGGGAGGAGAGGAGAGGAGAGGAGGGGAGGGGAGGGGAGGAGAGGAGAGGAGAGGAGGGGAGGGGAGGGGAGGAGAGGAGAGGAGAGGAGGGGAGGGGAGGGGAGGAGAGGAGAGGAGAGGAGGGGAGGGGAGGGGAGGAGAGGAGAGGAGAGGAGGGGAGGGGAGGGGAGGAGAGGAGAGGAGAGGAGGGGAGGGGAGGGGAGGAGAGGAGAGGAGAGGAGGGGAGGGGAGGGGAGGAGAGGAGAGGAGAGGAGGGGAGGGGAGGGGAGGAGAGGAGAGGAGAGGAGGGGAGGGGAGGGGAGGAGAGGAGAGGAGAGGAGGGGAGGGGAGGGGAGGAGAGGAGAGGAGAGGAGGGGAGGGGAGGGGAGGAGAGGAGAGGAGAGGAGGGGAGGGGAGGGGAGGAGAGGAGAGGAGAGGAGGGGAGGGGAGGGGAGGAGAGGAGAGGAGAGGAGGGGAGGGGAGGGGAGGAGAGGAGAGGAGAGGAGGGGAGGGGAGGGGAGGAGAGGAGAGGAGAGGAGGGGAGGGGAGGGGAGGAGAGGAGAGGAGAGGAGGGGAGGGGAGGGGAGGAGAGGAGAGGAGAGGAGGAAGCTGTTCCTTGGAGGATACTTAAAAGAACAAAAATGACAGTGAAAAGCTTGTTCCCCTCTGTACTGGCACACAGATTGCTGGCATTGCCACACCTGTTGGCAAAGCTGCTCTGCTTCCCAAAGAGGGAATGGAAAGCTGGAACACCATCTTGGAGTAAAGAAACAGGTGTCAGTGGAAAAAAAACAAAGCTTTTGTTCTCATTGACTGTGTTCGTCCAAATGGAAAATCCAGGCAAGGAGACTGGAAAGGCTGCAGTTCACAATGCCAGTTCTCCTGTTTTCTAATTTTGGAACAAAGTACTCCCCATCACTGCTTTTCCTAAACAACTCTGGTACGTGTATTCTCAGAGGGTGATTTCACAAGGTCTCACAGAGCAGGGCCTGAGCAGATGGACATGAAGAATATAAGGAGAAACAACTGTGTAAGTAAAAAAAATATCATAGAACCATAGGGGTTGGAAGGGACCTCTGAAGATCATCAAGTCCAACCCCCCTGCTGCAGCAGGAACACCCAGGGCAGCTCACACAGGAACATGTCCAGACAGATCTTGAAAGTCTCCAGAGAAGGAGACTCCACAACCTCTCTGGGCAGCCTGTTCCAGTGCTCCAAACATCATCCTTTATTATCACAGTAGACAGCAGAATGGATGCAATCAGCACACTTTTAGAAATCACTGGCTTGAGCGTGCAACAGGGTTTGTTCTCTCCTACAAGAGTGCAAAGAAAGTAAAACTGACGTCCAGCAATAGGACAGAAAGGATTTGGTGTTGGGTGTAAGGAGGCCTGGGTTCTAGGCCTGAACAACTGTTCATTATTTATGGGCATCTGTTTTTCCTGACCACTCTTGCTGCCTGGATCATCACATTTAACCACTGTGTTAGGGCAGAGTCTGTCCTGCTGCTCTTGCCCCTGCCACCATATAGGACACCTTGCCTCTGCTTCATCTATACAAACAGAAAGCTGGCAGAGACTCACTTGCTTTTAAAACCACTTTTGTTTCTTCCTTGGCATATAAAGAATTCCAAATCTTCTCATCTTCACTAATGCTGCAGAGGTTTCTGTTCAGTGGAAACCAGCCTCCCTTGCCAATGGGAAAGAAACCCTTCTCAGTCAGTAGGACACCTCTGTTTTGCACACCCATGAAATAAGACCTCTTGCAGTTGCAGTGCAAGTGGGTGGCTGTCTAGCAGCTATGAGTAAGCTACGAGAGGATGTCATTGTTGCCAGACTGGGCCCAGCTTATTGTCAGCCAAGACATTGTGGGGGAAACCTGACTGCAAACAAAAACGAAGCCAACTGAACTGTTTGTCCTTGTCCAAACGAAGGCAAAGGCAAACAGGGAGAATTTATAAACTGAATTTGTAAAACCTGTCTATTAGCAAGATGATAAAGGGAGCTGTTGGCTTCTGCGTTGCAAGCTGACACCAGTGTTTTCCTTGGGCACAAGCCAAAGTTTTGGCTCTACTTTTCTTTCACCAAACATGAGCCCTCCGGGGTGAGTCACTGGCTCTTGGGGCAGGCTGCAGCCTGCTGAGCCAGGGCAAGGAGCTCTTGTTGCACAGAGAAGGAATCAGGAGAGGATGTGTCATGGGTTGTGGGGTCACACTGTGAATCTGCATCACTTCCCACAGATGCAGGTTGCAGGTCTGGAGGAGAATACAAAGCCAGGACTCCCCAGGACCCACTGGGGTTTGGGTACCACATTTGATCTCTGGTGAGCGTTTTAAGGATACGTGGAGCTCCACCAAAAGCTCCTCTCAGCAATTCACGTACTTCCATGAGCTGCAGCAATTCCTTTTTGTAATCCTGGATACCAAATCATCACCAGCTCCTTGCTGGCACACATCAAACCCCTTCCCTACCCTCTTCCACCCCAGCAGAACCAGTGGAGTTACACAAGAGGAGGGCATGTGGCTGCAGAGCCAAGGAGGGGTTTATTGTTTGCATTTCCTCTTATTATAAGAGCAGTGTAAGGGGGAAAAAAAAAGAAGGGAAGGGAAGGGAAGGGAAGGGAAGGGAAGGGTAAGGATACGTGGAGCTCCACCAAAAGCTCCTCTCAGCAATTCACGTACTTCCATGAGCTGCAGCAATTCCTTTTTGTAATCCTGGATACCAAATCATCACCAGCTCCTTGCTGGCACACATCAAACCCCTTCCCTACCCTCTTCCACCCCAGCAGAACCAGTGGAGTTACACAAGAGGAGGGCATGTGGCTGCAGAGCCAAGGAGGGGTTTATTGTTTGCATTTCCTGTTATTATAAGAGCAGTGTAAGGGGGAAAAAAAAAGAAGGGAAGGGAAGGGAAGGGAAGGGAAGGGAAGGAAAGGAAAGGAAAGGAAAGGAAAGGAAAGGAAAGGAAAGGAAAGGAAAGGAAAGGA